TGAAAGCCCTTGTACCCCAGGGATTAACCGGGAGCCCAAACTACTTTGGACTCTCGAATAACTTTATGACCTTTATCATCTGTGAAAGTTTGAGAGAAATCGGTGAGATGGCATGTGTCACGCCTGCCTGGTCCTATCGTGGACAGACTCTTTAACACTAAATTACCTGCTATACTCTCCCACCGACGCAGCACCACAGTTTCTTTAGAAACTTACCCCTTGATCCCACAAGTACTACGTTTTCACATTTTTTCCAAAATCCATTCTTGGTTTTCACCCACTACAGTTGCTATCCACCTCGTTGGTGCTCAAGCAAATATTTACAAATGCGCTTGTAGGTAAGGTGTAAGTGAGAAAGTAGACATGGTTCTTTTTGTAGTTTTCGGCTGTGGCACCAGAAGTGATCGAGACAAAGGGATTGGATTTTATCGAATACCTTCAGTTATTAAAAATAAGTCTTCCATCGAAGAAGAATTGAAACAGAGAGGAAAGAAAAGTGTGGATACAAGCGTTAAGTCGCGGCGACATGATACTGATGAGAATAAAGACAGACCGGCACGGACTCCCCATGTGGCGTTCGTGGTACCTTCGCATTATCGCCTTATATTTTATATTTTTACATTTTTCCTCCCACAAACATGTCTTAAAGTCCTTAAAGAGATTTTCCCTTGTTGTGAAAGATGAGCAAGGGCTGATTGTGTATCAGACTCCAATGTTCCATGAATATTTGTTTTAAATTTTTTAACTGCCGGGTGGTACGTTGTGACAAAAGGCAGTAAACGTCGTGACCTTTCGGCTTTTGTGTATGTGCAAGGGCCGATTGTCAAGAGGCAAAGTTGGCCCCTGACAGAGACCCTTCTATGATGTTTTCTGGGTACCCTCTTGCTCTGAGGCGTTGTTTGAATTTCAAACGGCCCTCTTCAAATGTTCTTTTCGAAGATGAAACCATATTTTACGCCTGGTGGGTGGCACGAGGTGGAAGGTCTCGGTCGGCTTGTTATGGGTTTTGACGTCCCAGATGGAATCTTTTGCGAATCTTTCCCCTTTGAACACTGTGCTATCGAGAAAAGTGATTTGGTTGTCGGATATTTCGGCTGTGAATTTGATAGTAGGGTGGAAATAGTTAGCTCGTTAATAAACCGATTTACCACTTTTCTGTCGCAATCCCAATGGGAGAAAACGTCATCAATGTAACGTTTCCATTCTCTTGGCTTGGTATCGCTTTGTTGGATTAATTCCGTTTCCATTTCCATCATGAAAAAAATTGGCGAATGACACTGCCATTTTTGTACCCATAGCGGTTCCATTGTCTTTGGAGGAAGTTCTCCTCAACGAATTTTCTTTGAGAATTAAGCCAAGCATTTCCCTAAGGTAGCGCGTTGGGATCGGTGCGTTATGCCGTTGTGGAACTTTTCCTATGTTTCTCATGCTATATTCGTTCCTTCTTCTTGAAGTATATTTGTGTATCACTTTCTGCGATAATCCAATGGTCTACAAGAGGATCGTTCATCCGCTGCGGATGTCTCACCTACACCACAACAACAATCTTGTTTACAATCTCTGCTCTTTGAACCGAATTTATGAGGCCAGACACCATTTGGTTGAACGCTTCAAGACTTTTGAATGCTTTAAATTGCTTATTTGCATAATAACTTGTCTCCAGAACTAATTAAGAAAGAAGGTTCGAGACCTCTATCGGGGACAAATATTTTGAGTTGAACTGCTCACTTGGAATGGCTACTGGGTCTACACCGACCACATAAATTTTCCTTAAAAATATCGCTCTCGAACGTGGCTTTGTAGGCCCTTCGCATAGTTCGAAAGCACAGTTATCCTAAGGAGAATATTCTCTTGTGATTCTAGATTTTTTTCATCAGGAATATCCATAAAACGATTTGACAGAGGGCACTGTAGAGATAGTAATATATCTGCATGAAATTTCACATCTGAGATGGGCACAAACATGGCAGACGCTTTGTTTGCAAAAAAAGTATGACGTCAGTTGCAAACCGAGAATTGTACTTAAGAGTCTGAGCCAGTGATATATAAAGAGGTATTGGTCAGCGTACTCATTGTTTTGCCAGCTGTCATTTGCTGCCAATTGTTCGTCAGTATAACGGTTTGCAGCCAATGCTTCTCTACTTAAGTGTAACAAATAAGAAGACGCTGATTGATATCAGCGAACCCGCAATGTGACATGAGGATTTTTGTCACTTTAACATTTCAATGTGGGTTAGACGATTGCATTGGAGGCTTATTACATTTAAGACTTTATTTCATTTAGGACCAAATCTTATTACATTTAGTTCTCTATGACATTCAGAACGGTTCAATTTAGGCTTTCAACACCCCACTACTTTAAACAGAACTGCTACAATATAAAATTTCCACACGTAGGGTAACAAAAGATATCAAATTGAACATGGTTTAGTGAAGGCGCCATTACGTAATGTTTATTTTTACCCATGTGCGACAATCTTTCCAGTTCTTTTTCTTGTCTAGGAACACTTTTCCAGACCTATTACTTTTAATTACCGCTCGAGGTGTGGATAAAGACATCAGTGCGTAATAATCCATGTCGACATCCGAGTGCAGGTCACTGTCAAAGTATTTCATAACGATCTTCTTCTTTTCAAACTTCCATTTGTTGTCTGTCGGATACACAGTCGATGCATTCTACAAATATGGAGTGCAAGGTTTGAGAACAAGTACCAACTGCCTAAAAACGCAACTTTGCATTTTTATTTTTATGAAAGGGCTCCCTCTGGGTCTAAAGTGATTTGATTTACAGATCGTCATTAATAGATGAATACAAGATTTGAGAAAAAAATTAAGATACAGCACTGCTCCAGCGTACCCTATGTGAGCAAGAATTTTGCCATACTTAGATCTATTGAAGATGTTGCTGGGGAAGCCCTTTCCTTGTTGGAAAAATGAAAAGAAGCGAATTGTACAAAGAGTCTGTTATATCTTTAGGCCAGAATTTTCACGAAGATGATTTCACTCGGGCATCTGGCTAACATTTACAATTATTACAAGATGTGCTGTTTTCATCATAAATCAACACATTTCATGACTAAAGGGTGGTTAAGGTCACACTTGGACCAAGACCTTTTCCACGCATCGTTCTCAATGACAACAGGGACTTACTTTCACCACCAACTTTTCATCTTCCACAGCTATGATAAAGTCCGGCTTTTTGTAGGGCTTGAAGGAATACACTAGGTTTTGACCTGAGCATTCTCTTCTCAAGATAAACCCTGTGAACAAACACAAATAGTAGTCTTGAAAACTTTTTTTCCTGTCGGCCACTGCATTGCTGATAACTCAGCTTTGAATTGATTCTATTATCTATTTTAGTAGTATCTTGGTATCTTAATCCTTTAACT